ATGCATTTCAGGATAGGAAGAATGGAATAGATGAACAGACAAACAAAAGTAAATACAGTCTACTATGAATGAATGGCAGACTTGTGGACATAGATGTATACATTTCTTATGACCTTGCTGTAATTTTAAAATATTTCACAATGAAATGTGGAAGGAAAAATGCCCAGATCCTTCCTCCCAATGCAGCCTGCCCCATCCCTCCTCCCTCTCCACTTGTCCTCTGCCCTTCCCTAGTCTCCGAATGGAAAGAGTCTTTTTACCATGGGCTAGGCAAACTTCGGGTGACAGCACAAGGAGCAGTGTTCAAACTTCAGAAGGATTTTATTCCTGGCTGTAATGAAGGAGACCAACACAATGTCTGTAGGAGACAGAGACAGAGTGGCACCTCAATTCCAAAGACGACAAGGAGAAGGACAGTCAAGGGACTGAAGGGGAGGGGTTGAGAAATGGATAATTAAGAAAGACATCCCTGGGTGGGGTTTCCAGCTAAAAGGAATCACTAAGATTATGAGTGAAAACAACACAGGGTCATTGAAAGGGATGAGGATCTAGATAGTGGTGGTCAGATGTGAAGGGTGGACGCTCTCTGAACTGACTTAGCAGGATGCTCTGCTGAGCCTGTGCAGTCCAGGCCTGGGAAGGACAAGACAGGAAATCAAAGTCACAGCCTAGTGGAGAAGATCATGGGAAAGAGGGGTCTGGGACACTGAATCCAGCCACATAGTGAAGGTAAGGAAAGAGGGAAGAGCACTGGAGAGAACACAGGGCTGCCCTAGTGACCCCTGGATACTAGCCCCAACATTGAAATCCAGTGAGCAGGCAGGCAAGGAGTCACTTTCTGTGACACTGTGTAAAAGGAGTTAAGGTTTAATTGCACAACACTGAGAGGCAGACCACCAGCCTGTGGGTTGGACAGAACTTCTGATCACCCAGGAATCAATCCTGCAAGGGGATTGCTCAACCCAAGCCATGCATCCTGTTTTCCTTGTGGTGGGATCCTGTAAGTGAGGTCCAGTGAGATGGCTGGAGCAGCCTGCTTCCCCAGCCAGCTGCCTGTGTCCCCAGAAGTTCTTTCCTTGTTGCCCTCCACTAAGCCGTGTCACATCCATCACTGCATCTATTCTTGTAAATAGTTGAGAAAAAGAGGCTTCCTGAAGTCAAGACTGCCAGAGTAGAAAGTACCAGGAGTCTCTACCTTCCTGTGCAGTGCAAAACAGTCAGATGGCAAACACCAGGCACTCCTCACTCACATCTCTCTACATGGGATGCATCATAGTTTCTGGTGATAAGATAATAATCCCAACCCAGGCTAACATTTCACTGAAGTGAGCAAATGGCCCAGAAGCACCTGATGTAACCCTGAGTTGGTGATAGGAAAGACCCTCAAGCACTCCATAAAGGAAGCTTCGGGCTCTCCTGTTTTGAGAGGGAGACAACCAACCTATGACTTGATCACTCAAAGCAACTACTACAGATACTTTACTTCTAATGGCTCAAACCTTGACTATTCAGGATTTCAACTCTCGACCTATTTCATCTTACCTCCTGAAGTACTAGGTAATGTTTTATCTGTTTAGCCACTTACTTAAAAATAGCATTATTTTATACCCACATTTGTTTGTTTGTTTATTTATGTGCCATACTTTGAATTAAACCTAAGGCTTCACACATACTAAGCAAGCACTCTACAACTGAGCTACATCTCCAGCCCTCTTTTTACTTTATGTTTTGAGATAGGTTCTCACTATGTAGCACAGGCTAACCCTGAAGTTTGTATCCTTCTGCTTCCATCTCTACAGTAGCTGGGATTACAGGCCTGCTCTCACCAGGCCCATGGAATATCCATTTATTATTATAGAAACCTTCTACCACCCCGGCATATCCACTCTAATTCAGATCAAGAAACCAACAGCCATACAAGCAGACAGAGAACAGGCTTCCCTGAGTCATCTCTATCACAAGGTAGTCATGTTTCTCTCCTGGACAGGTAGACTCCTTTATATTGTGTCTTGTGGCTCAGCTCTTGGTTTCTTCTTTCCCTTGGGGCATCTGTAGCTTACCTTGAAGCTGCAGGCTTCCAGACATGAACTGCTCTTGCATGGTGAGCTGTGACCACTGAAGTCTGTCACCCCTCTGGCACTTACACTCCCGCCTCCAAGTGAGTTAGATGAAGAATGGGCAGACTCTTGGCCCAAGAGTTGTTGCCTCACTTTCCATCTCTTAATTCACCTGACTGGAAGTGGTCCTTACAGTTCCTGAAAGTGCCCTGCAGTAGTGTCTGTCCCTTGGGGATCAGAAGCGCCACTCTTAGGTCACCTACTCTCCCAAATGAATCTGGGCCAGACTTATAATAGGAAACTGACAGGCAGTGTGATCACAGATGTCAACATGTACACCACTTCTCTTTAACATGCTCTTACCCGCACTAGTCCATCCTGGACCTTCTTTCTACTGTCAAATGATGAGATAAGAAGGCTTCTCCCTATTTCAACTCACCCTGTATACAACGGTGCTCCTGAGAGTGGAGCCCAGAAGAATCTGATGACTGCCCAGCATTCTACTCAGAGATACCTGGCTACATGTAGCCCTCTTTCCAGGCTTTGTGTCTGCTTCCTCTTTCCTATTTATCTAGTAAAATATCCATGCACCTGCTTGAAGAGTTCTGCAAATGCCATCCTTACCACAGCTTACCACAGCCCTATTTACCTAATAGGGCAAGATGAACACAGCCATGCCTTAAGGTCCTCTATTCTAACCCTGACATGAATACTCATTAGTCATATTGTTGCTACCTGTTAGATTCCTGCTGACAGGGTCCCATATAGATTCTAGACCCAAGGAACAACAGGGATGACCCTGAATGACCATTACCTACCACCCCCAACATAATCCCTCTTAGTACACTTTAAGGGCCCAGGGTCTTCCAGTATTTCTGTCGAAACCAGATACCTTCACTACCAGCTCAATTGTCACAGGACCACTTTCAAGCATAGAGAGAGAGAGAGGTTGAAAGAAGGAATAATACCGTATATCTGCATAGAACTCAGCTCTACCCTGTCTACTCCTGGGGTCCATAGTGAGCCCAGGCTTGCTTTGTCATGAGCTAGAGGATACATCAACCTATACAGTAGCCACTTGAACATATCCTCTGCCTGAGAAAGAGAACAGTCGGGTTAAGGAACTAGTGCAAAGGAACCTCCTGATGCTGCTGCCCCAAAGGCCAGACATGGCTAATTCTGCATGTTTACAGGAAGTCCATAAAAGATGAGTCTCCGGGGACAGATGGGCTGGCAAGGGTCCAGTTGGTACCAAAAGGGACCACAGAAGCACCAGGGAACTTTCTGAGGTCAGACACACATGTCTTAGATTTTGTATACACTCACTAAAATTATTTTTGCACACTTAGAGTCGTTTATCATATATTATCAATACCACACTCTGGGTGAGTCAGTAAAAACTAAATTATCTTTCCAAGCAGGAGACAAAGTACCAGAACCACAGTGGGGATCCCTGAGGGGAGCAGGCAGAACAGCCAATGTGCTTTATGTTCATCCTCAGGGGTCTGCCCTCTCACTAGCTTGGCCCATAGGCCCCACATATAGCATCCGCATAGCTGTTAGAGTGACAGTCCTGGTCCTATCTCTTCCCTGCTTAGACTTACCCTTTCCAGTGTTCCTTGTTTCTGAACAGGAAAGCCCTGTCAAACCTCATCACCTGGGCAGTGGCCATTCCCTCTGCCTGATGCTGTTTTCCTGATCTAGGTGGAACTCCTTGTCTGTATAAATCCTAAAGGGACCTCTCAACTAATGTCTAGTGTTACCCATCTCTCCCTCTTCTTAGCTCACTTTCTACAGAGCATTATAATCGCCTGATCTTAATTATTTCCCCTCCCTCATGCCACCACCAGCACAAACCCTCACCAGGATGAGTAGTTAACAGATATGGGAAACGGGGCTAGACAGAGAGAACATCTGTAGTAAATGTTATAAACATACATAGAATCTAATGAATTAGTATGCACACTGAGGAATATATGGACTATGCTACATGTTGAAATTACATTTGATAGGTTAAAGAACACATTAAAATATTCAATGTTTGTACTTTTTAAGAACTGTTTTGTGGTTTGGGTTTTTTGTTCGTTTGTTGTACAATAGGATCTCACTGTATAGCTCTGGCTGGCCTGAAACTACAGACATAGACAAAGCTGGCCTTGAACTAACAGATCCACCTGCTTATACTATCCAAGTGTTGGAATTAAAAAACATGAGACAGCACACCCAGCCTCTCATATCAGTAGTTTTTAACCTGTCAATTAGAAAGCTTAAAAGACACTTGGGTTTATGCTGGACAGCCTGTAGCAATGTCTGTCCAGGGCTTGGCCACCAGTGCTGTCTCCTGTCCTTAAGGTGGCCTGGCTTGAGTGGTTTAAATAATTATACAGAATGCCACCCTCTTCCCCATTCCCCACTCCTCCAAGGTCAATTCATTTTCTTTTGACAAGGAAGTGTCTTAGGACAGAGCCTGTGGGAACCAGAAACGACAGAGTATTTGCTCAGAGTATTTCATATAGTGACCCAGCACTCACAGGGCAAGGCCCGGGAAGTTAAAGACTGGTTGCCCTCTTCCTTTCTGGAGAAACAGAGTTCAGATGTCACAGGCATTTTAGGGTTCAGAGAGCAATAGCTTCTCTGTTGAAACCAGACTTTAAGAAACTGGGAACTGTGAAAGGGGAAGCTGTGGAAGAGGGGCCTGGAGATGAGGAACTGAGAAGAACAGAGAGCTAAGAATGAAAAAGTAAGGGAGAGGCAGGAAGGGCGCGGTTGAGTGGGGGAGGGGCAGGGAGTAGAAGATAGCCTGTTCCAGAGAGGGTTAGGAGTTCCCAGGCAAGAAGAGACCAGAAGTAGGGGCCAACTGAAGAAGAGGGCGGGATGGTGCGGAGGAGGCGGGGCCGCGGATAGGGAGAAGGGGAGGGACGGAAGAAGAGGGGAGGGTGGCTGCCGGAAAAGGAGGAGCCGGGAGAGGAGGGCTGGTTCCCAAGTTTCTCAATTGGGTAAAAGCTGCAAGGTGTTAGCAGCCTCATTTCAGCTGCAACTCCTCAGTCCTGTTCGAACTCTATCCCTCTGTCCCAGCAACCATGGCCAGCCCGCTGCGCACCCCGCTGCTCCTGCTAGCCATCCTGGCTGTGGCCTCGGCTGCGAACACCAAGCAAGGTCCGCGCCTCTTGGGAGGCCTGCAGGAGGCCAAAGTCGAGGAAGAGGGCGTGAAGCAAGCTTTGGACTTCGCCATCAGCGAGTACAACAAGGGCAGCAATGATGCGTACCACAGCCGCGCCCTAGAGGTAGTGAGAGCCCGTAAGCAGGTGAGTGTCCCCGCTGCTGCCCTGCTCTCGGTTCCCTCCTAGCCGGGAGTCCCAGGCCAGGGCGCGGTTCGCCTCTGCAGGAATTTGGCCAATGCTAGTGCTTCCCACAGGAGCGGTCCTCCTCCTTCCCTGCTTCTCAGCGCTCCTCAGTTTGTTTCCAGGGTTACTCCCCCTCTGGTTAATCCTGGAACACAGGAAAGAACTGCGGGTGGGCACCAACCCTCCTAGCTTTATTTCCAAAAGTCCACCGAGCAGAGGCACCAAAGATGTGGGGCAGAGTCTCCTAGGTTGAGCTAGCCGCCACCAGCTGCTGCTTAGGGTTAGTGTCTGCTACTAATGACCTGGAAGTATAATTAGGCCTTACAGCTGTCCTCGCCCTTCTTTAAACTTCTTATTGTGACAGGCGCTCAGACTTTATCCAGTCCCTCCAGTAAACGCTTGGCCACGTTTGCTCCAATCGCTTTACTCTACTCAGGCGCACGTGTACCCAAGCGTGTGTTTGTGTGCATTTGTTTTTGTGAAGGCTTTCAGAGTAAAACTTCTTGAAAACAAAGGCATTCTCTACATACCCAAGATTCCATTTGGGAAATGGGGAATCCACAGACACTCAGTTCCTTCTCTCAAAACCTCATTTAGTTTGCTCGTCTCCATAGAGTCCATAGTTTTACGATAAAGCGTGCCCGGGGAACCTTGGCAGATTCCATGGCAGGCGAGGGTGACCGAGGTGGGGAACAAACATGGCAGGCTTAGTGAGAGGTTTAATAAGAAAGGGAAAGAGAAAAGAGGTAAAGAGACAAAGAGAGGAAAGAAGAGACGAGGGAGACAGGAAAAGTCCTGTGAGCCCCAGGGGAACAGAAGGAAAGAGAGCGGAAAAGAAGAGAGTGTAACTGGGTTGGGGGGGTCTGTCTTTTAAAGGAGCCCTTTGCACCTGCGTGCAGACTAGTAGTCATGGAACCCTGGGATGACCAGAGTACTGCTTGAGTGCATTCTTCGAGGTTACAGGAGCAAGCCAGCAAGCATAATGCCTGAATCCTTACACATAGCATCTCCCTGCATGGGCTGTTTCCATCCAGTCTGGCTGCCTGTCTTTCTCTGAGCAGTACTTGCTCTGCCTTACTGCCCTTAGGAATGTGGAATGGTCCAGCCGGCTCTGGTTGTCAGTCATGTGCCTCATGATAAGGTTCCCTTCAGCCATGATTCAGTATGTGATGGGGTGGTCCCTTATGGCCACTTTAGCTTGTACATGTGTGACTTGATTCCCCCCGGTGCCCACGGGACACATTTCTTGAAAGAGGCCCCCATCCTTAAGGAACACATGACTGTGTAGACTGGTGTAGAGTCTCTTGGCCATAATGTTGATGAAGGTCACTGGGCAAGCCTCCTCTTGGGTCTTCCCAGAAGGTGCCATGTGGCTGCTCTGGACAGCCTTGCTTCCCCTCTTATGGCCCTGGAATATCCTTCGAAGCAGCCTCAGGAGTTGATAATTACCCCCAAGACAGCAATCTTAGCCAGTAGCCCTCCATTCCCTGAGTAGATGGGACTATGGTAAACTTAGATTCTGACAGAGGAGCCAGCTTCAAGGGCCGCTAGGACCCACGGTTGACCCAAAAGAGGGCCAGATTTTAGACCACAAAGGGTTGTAGATCTATGTATGGAACTCATTTCTGCCCTCTCTTGAAAATGTAACCAATTTAAATCCTGCTCCATTTCTCCTGCTGCTGTGATCAACGTTCGGAAAAGTCATGCACTTCCCAGCTGTCATGGTCCTTGATGGCCAGTGCACCTCTCAACTGTGGCACTAGATGGGCAGAGCATAGGGAGTTATGGATTATTTGGTGTGTGGGTCTCATTTAACTGGTAGAAAACCCAGAACCCCAAGAAATGAAGAACGTTGTTCCTAGTCCCACAGGACAATATACAGAGCCGCACCATCTGACCCAGGTTCTGGTCTGTGCTTCATACTTCTGGGGAGTTGGTCTGGGGTACCCTATACAGGGAGAGGAATAAGTTCTAGTCATACATTGCACACGGAAGACATACTGGAGAAAGACAGGACACACTTGAGGAAATTCTCCCTGGAAAATCTTACTGAAGAAGGAAGCAACCTATGTCTTCTTGTCCCTGGGAGGAGGGAGTCTGGGTAAATAAAAGGAATGGGTTCTCTCCAGGCTCCATACAGGATGATCCGGCTTTCTTCCAGTGGTACAGTGTCTCAGCCTGAGGAGCCACAGTCAGCAGATTTGAGCTAATCTCCTGTAACCCAGAGCCTTTGCTTATGATCCAAACAACGATGAGCTCCTAGGACACCCTGGCTCTCTCCCCAGACCCGATCCTCTCCCTCCTGACTCACTGAAGGGTTTGTCAGTCCTGGTTTCTGCCTTTAGTTCCCTGCTTCTCCTCTTACTCAGCTACATAGGATGATACTTTGTCAAGGTTGCTCAGAGTAACAGGATTACCTGCAGAGCCTGAGGCCACTTGTCTGGGAAGAGTTGGCTTACATTCTCTGCGAGTGAGAGTTCTGGCCTGTCAGCAACGTAGGCAAAAGCCCTAGGTAAACACATTAGTTCTGTGATGTGAGGTGAGTCTGTATAATTGATTTAGCGGGATTGTTGTCTTTTCACTGTAGATGGTGGCTGGAATAAACTACTATTTGGATGTGATGGTAGGCCGAACCACATGTACCAAGTCCCAGCCAAACCTGACAGATTGTCCTTTCCATGACCAGCCCCATCTGATGAGGGTATGTACCTGATATGGGCCTCAGAGCAATCACACAGGCAAGGGGGTTGATGAGTATGATTTTGAGGGGTAATAGATCTATTTGGAGGGTGTGTGCACACAAGTGGAGAAGTGCATGTGTAGGGAGCAGTGATTCATGAGTGACTACAGGTGGTCGTTTGGCACATACATGGCATGCCAATGCAGACCTGTGCCCATGTAGGGTGAGGGGACGGATGTGTGTTCACATGATTATTTTAGTTACTGAATGAACTTATCCTGGGAGTTGGGGTACTGGGGACAATTATCCCTACTGGACTAGAGGCAGCTATAAGGATTCTTGCTGGAGAGAAAGGCTCTATGTCTCCTAACCGAGGGCTCCCAAGCCTAATACAGGCTGCTCCTTAACAATCCATGCTGGAGCTGGGGAATGTGGAATCATGGGGCCAGGAAACGGAGCACATGACATCTGGGAGTAGGGATGAACAATCCTGCTGAGTGTCCTGGGACTTAGAAGGGGGAAAGTGTTTCCGTTCCATCATCCTTGGATGGGCACTTCTCTTTTTAACTGTATTAGCATGCTGATTGTTCCTCTCTGTTCCCTTTTGCAGAAGACACTCTGCTCCTTCCAGATCTACACTGTGCCCTGGCAAGGCACACAGACCCTGACAAAATCCAGCTGCAAAAGTGCCTAAGGGTTGAGTCCAGTAGGGTGATGCAGACCGCTCCTTACTTGTACTCCTTCCCTGTAGTGTCCTATCCCTTGGAAGAGTGTTCCAGCTCTGGGGGACTTCTCCAGTGTGCCAGCACCAGGAGACAGTTGAGAAGCTGCTGCAGACAGGTTTTGCACATCTGAACAGCTGTCCCTGGTTCCACTCTTCTCCTTGCAGTACATGTCATGCCTTGCTCAAAAAAAAAAAAAAAAAAAAAAAAAAAAAAAAAAAAAAAAAAAAAAAAAAAAAAAAAAAGATTTTCTTTGACTCCTTCTGAGTTGTTTCTGTCTCAGGATATGCAGCAAGCAAAGGCAAAGAAAGCAGGAGCTGAAGGCTTACATCCCCATATCTATCAGGATGAGGCCCTCACAAGTGCCAGGAGTAACCTGAGCTGCCACACTGAAGCTTTACCGATGCTTTTGCAAGACAGTCAAACAATGGGGCAGATGGTAGGTACCATAGCTTAGCCCGACCTCACCAGCTTCTGCAGAGGTAACCTGATGGAGGGAACAGCCCTCACTAAGAGACTTTGCAAGATGATTCCATCTAATCTGCCTGCAGTGGAAACTGTGTGTGTGAGAGAGAGAGAGAGAGACAGAGACAGAGAGATGGGGGGAGATGGAGGGAGGGAAACAACAGCCAGCATCCCAGGCAGAATGACAACCCAGAGCTGAGGTGGCTTAGGTGGCACTGGTCCTACACATCCTAGGCCACTACAGCCTATGGGGATGACAAATGGATTCTCCCAACTCTTCTCTTCCCTGACATAACACAAGGTTTCTTATGTACCTACCTTATTAGGGTGAATTCAACACAAATGGACTGATAAAAGATCTATTCCAACTTCCAACCAGGGATTTTCAGTTAGTGACATCACCTCAGTTGTATAGAGCAGGGGCATCTCAGCCCCCCAGTATGGGGGACCAGTGTTAAAGTGCAAGTTTTCACTGTCCATTCACCTGCCACTCAGTGCAGACGGGAGTAGCCCAGCTACTGGGGCCTGCATTCAAATTCCCAAACTGATCAGAGCCGCATGAGGAAGCTCTCTTCAGGCCACTCAGATCACAGTGTTTCCTAGAACATCTGTCCTTTTAAGAGTCCTTTGATCCTGAACCATAGCACTTGTTTGTCTTTGGACCAAATCCAGGCCACTGATGTGCTAGCTAAAGGAGTTGGCCACACTTCCTGGATTGACACCAGCAGGCAGTGACACTGAAGTGTGTTCCCATGGCTCTGTGCTTCTGGACTGCCACATGGCAGAGGCACCATCACCACACAGCTCTAAAGAGGCTGCCTTACATTCACCAAGGCCCCATCCTATAATGACAACCTGTGTACTGGACAGATCCACTGCCCTGACTTCCTCTGCCATTGTGTCTAGAGCACTGACTTGGCTCAGCACATCCTCATTCCAGTTTTGCATATCTGAGTGACTTTGCTGAGCTGGTACTTGACCAAAGTTGTACCCTGAAAATTTCTCAGTGATCGTAATAATGTACCAGTTAAATTTAAAAAGTGAAAATATCCAGAGTACATAAAGAGCTATTAAAACCCAACAAGAAAGCCTCCTAAGCAAATTTCCTTTTTAAAAGATGTTGAAATTAGAAAAAGGAAGACAATCTCATAAGCAAGTTAATTTTTTAAAAACTACAACCCAATTAAAAATTATAAAAAGTCTCAATAGGCATATCTCCGAGGAAGATATGCAAAACAGATACTAACTTACATATGAATGGTTAACATAAATCTTAAGGTAAGTTAAAAGCATCAGTTCCCAATTCATACTTGTGACATACATTGAAAAGAGAGAGATTAACAAACAGGAATCTCAACTCAGCTGATGAGAGTGATGAAAATGATTTAGAAAACTGCCTGGCATATCCTCAAAGTGTTAAGTACAGCATTCATAAGCCTAACAATTCTGCCCCTGTTTATATAGCCAAGATAAATGGTATAAAGTAACTGCACTCTCATGCTTGTACATGCCTTCTTACAACTGTGCTATTCATGCTAACAGAAAGAAAGGAAAACAAACTAAGTAACCATCACCTGGGGCTGGAGAGATGACTCCGTCTTTGAGACCATGAGCTGTTCTCCCATTTGAAACTTAGAAGCCAGATGACACATTAGCCTGTTTTCAGTGTCATCACGTCCCAGAGAGATACAGAGGCCTGAGGAGCTCCAGCAAGATAGGGAAGGAGTCAACCTGTGGAACTGTGTTGACACTCATTGTCAAGCTGAACCTGGTGCCACAGAACTGTAGTTTCAGCTACTTGGAAAGCTTAGGCTGGAGGAATCCAAGATCAAGGATAGCCTAGGCAACTCATCTACAGCCTGCTTCAAAATAAATCTTAGAAATGGCTGGAGATGTATCTGAGTGGTAGAAGTCTTGTATAACATGTACATGGCCCGAGTTCAACCCTAATACCACATATACACAAGAAGAACACAGTATCACAGGTTTCATTTCTGTTGTGATAAAATATTATGGGGCAACCTGATTTAGGCAATCCTTAAACTGAGATTCCATTCCTAGTTGATTCTCCATCATATTAAGTTGACAATTAAAACTAAACATCAAAACAGTTACAGTAATCCAGCTAAGGTATTAGATCACAGAGCACCATAACTAATGAAAAAGTTAGAAATACCATGACAATCACCAGAATGTGACACAGAGACAGGAAGTGAGCACGATACACAGGTGACACCCATAGATTTGCTCAATGCACAGTTGCCTCGAACCTTTGAGTCTAAAGAAGCATGCAGCATTTGTGAATGGCAATCCAGCAAAAGTCAGTAAGAACAAGTATCATATATGCTTGTACAAAGTATAGATGAGAACTGCATGGGTGGCGCTGGGAAAGAGACACTGTTGGGTTTCAAACCTGGGACAAATAGCTCAGGTGCCTATTTAACATATCAAAGCTAACACTGGCACCTGGTTCTCCCTGGGTCTCTCAAGCCCTCCTAGCTGGTGTACCCCCTCCCCATCCTAAACTTGTCCTGCTCAAGGGCTAGGCTGCCCTTCCTCCAGCTGCCCTTCCCTGTGTAATGCAGCCATTTCAGTTATGCCTCCTTCCTTTCGGGACTCTGGACTGCTGCACCTGGTTCCCTTGTTCTCTCCTCTCCTCTCTTCACCCTCCCTCCTCTCTTCACGTGCCTCAGGGTCATGTCCATTTTGAACTCTCCCAGATGTCCCTGACCCTGCCTATGCTCTCCCACATATCTATAATAAACTTTTTCCTCATAATCATATTCCTTTCCTTCTCTATTTTGTTTTCATTCATCTGGTGCAAAACCCTGGAACCAGTCATGTCCTTTCCTTTTGATTTGTTTTCTGTTTTTTCATTCAGACATGAAGTACCATGCCCTTTCCATCCTTCCACTCGCATCTGCACTTCACATGTGTGGAAATGCTATGACCCTCTTTGGGAGGCATTCTTGAAGAGTCATTGCATATGCATGACTAAAACACAGTCTACCATGGTTACTTAAGGTTTCTATTGCTGGGATAAAGCACCATGGCCATAATCGCCTTAAGGATGAAAGGTTTTATTTTAGCTTACAGTTTCACTCCATCATCCAAAGGAAGTCAGAGCAGGAACTCAATGCAGGAACCCAGAGGCAGGAACTAAAGCAGAGACCACGAATGGGTGCTGTTTACTGGCTTGCTCCTCATGACTTACTCAGCCTGCTTTTTTATACCATGTAGGACCACCTGCCCAGCTGCATGGGCTTACGTACATCATCATCATTTTAGCAGTGCTCTGCTGCTGTGAAGAGACACCATGACCATGGCAACTCTTATAAAAGAAAGCATTTAATTGGACTTGCTTACTGATTCTGAGGTGTAGTCCATTATCATTGTAGCAGCGAGCATGGTGTCACACAGGTAGACATGGTACAAGAGAAAGTGAAAGTTCTACACCTGGATCTATAAGCAGCAGGAAGACAAAAAACCTCTGGGCCTGGCTTAAGTCCTTGAAATAACAAAGTAACACACTTCCTCCAACAAAACCACACCTACTAATCTTTTCAAATAGTACCACTCCCTATGTGCCCTAGGGGCCATTTTAATCCAAACTACAACAACCATTAAACAAGAAAATGCACCACAGGCTTGCCCACAAGCTAATCTGATGGAGTCATTTTCTCAACTGAAGTTCCCTTTCCCAAAATGATGCTAACCTGTGTCAAGTCAACATGAAAGCTAGCCAACTTCCTGGAGAAATGAAACTGGGAAAGGGGAATCTTATTTAGCGCTTCTATGCTAATAGATGGACTAAAGAACCCAACAAGGGGAAGACCCATCCAGACTCTTGGCCTTTCTGTTCACCAGCTCTGCTCTCAGTGCAGGGGGCAAGACACTTTCTAAAATGGGAGTCCTATGATGTGTTAGATGAGGTAAGTCAGAGAACATTTCTTTAGGGTCTCACTAAGTTTCCTGTCCTTAAACCCATGACTCCCCTTCCTTAGTTTTTTGAGAACCACAATTATGAATGATGAGTTTCTTTACACCTTAATACAAGACAAAGGGTAAAGGAAAGGTAGTGTTTCCATCACATGCTTTGGGAAAGAGAATTTCTGGTTCCCAGGAGTCAGTTCACATGACTGTGAGTCCTATCAGAGAATGGAATTCATATGCTACAGCCAAAGGCTGAAGACCTTCTTTCCTTGTGAGGCCCAGTGTTTGCTCTTCAGGCTTTCAGTTAATAGGATGAGGTCCTGCATATTATCAAGGGTTATCCTCTTTCCTTAAAGGTACTGAGTGTGCCTATTAACTATATCCCCAACGTCCTCCATAGCAACACCCAAAATATTGAATGAAAAGAAGCCTAGGCACCACAGCCAAGCCAAACTGATGCATGAAAAGCTAAAACTCTCAGAATAAGTAGGGCTGCTACCTTTTAGTTTGTATTTTCTCTCTTCAACTTTTTTTCTGTTTTTGGTCATGTAATAGTTTTATTACCCTTAATGAGGTGGGTGGTGGGAATACACATTACAGAAGCAGCAGCAACTTTAATTACAAACTAAGGTTGCTTTTATCCCCAAATGATTTGTTTTGGTGTCAACAAGAAATTTAAGCATATGTATTAACTTTCAAATAATTATGTTGAATATTTAAGTTCATTAAAGATATGGCTTACACACTGAGATCAACAATTAATAAATGGGACCTCCTGAAACTGAGAAGCTTCTGTAAGGCAAAGGACACAGTCAGCAAGACAAAACGACTAGGAAAAGATATTCAC